AGAAGCACGCACATGGAGACAGGACACCCTAAGACAATTCTTCAACTGCCCCACCAAAGTCCTCCCAACAACAGAGTGGGGTGAATGTGGGCAGGGCAGGGGAGGGGAAGGAGAATCAATATGGGATAGAGGCAAGCCCCCAAGTGACACAGTTCAGAAATGCCATTTTTGCCTTGAAGGCGGCCTTACGTTTTGTACATGTAAAATGCAACATATACTGAATGTTGCTTGTGTTCCAGAAAGCTGTATCCATGCTGTCCTGTGGCTTCCCTGGCTGGCACACAGCACACAGCCCTGGGGGAAGGGCTGGGCTCCTTGACTGACCTCCTGCACCTGGGGATGGAACGGGCCACGCTCTGGAAACCACCACTGTACACTCACCTGCTCTGTGCGACACTCACACCTATTCTTCTGCTCTCCAGCTTCCTACTCACCTTCAAGTCCCCGAAGGCAGCACTTTTTAGCCCTGAGAACATGACAGTAAAGGATGTCCAAACAGCTACAGGGAATGCTTGCAGCAGTCAAGAAGAGTCAAAGCCCCAGCTGGACTTCCTACCAGCAACCCCTGCTTTCAAAGCCCTCCTTGTGACCACCTGCCACACTAAATATGGATGGAAAAGTCAGCAGCAGGAGCTGGATAAGGGCAGGGCCAAGGAGAAGACGTCACAACTATTAGTTTTAATAAAAATGTTTACTAGCCAGACTTTTCCCCTTTCCTGTAACTTCCCTTCGGCCTGAGAATTCTGGTTCTGTACTCAGTGGCTGGCTGCTCTGTGTATAACCATCTGTTTGGGGCCATATTAGTCTCAATAAAAAGGTGTTAAATCCTTTACAGCAAGTTTTAAGCCAATGAAAATTTCACAAAAGCTCCCCAATCTTCAGCTATTGGCCTACTTTTTAAATAATCCATACAGCCCAGTCTCCACATAACACAGCATCCCCTGCCACACTTCCTCTGACTTTGGTGATTTGGCCAGGACAGAAGTGAAAAGGTCCTGCAGTCCTACTTTTTGTCAGTCTCCAGTGTCTGCTTGCAAATGGCCCACCTCCCAGCGGGAGAGGGATGACCCGCCTGCATCTCAGTGCCATCCTAGGCTGCAGCCGAGCAGGGGCCTGACCACTCTCAGAAGCAAACACAAAGTTCTTGACACAGTGCCCTCAGGCCTGCAGCTGCTCCCTGTAGAGTAAACTTCAGACTGACGGAGATAAAGTTTCCCTGGGCCCAAGTTCCAGACTCGGCTGTTTTGTTTCTGTTAAAATGCAATTGTTTTTCTCTGGAGTGTGCAGTGACTGCTAAGCGTCAGGAAGATGTATGAAAACCTCCACTTCAATTCAGCATCCCTTTTCTCCCAGACAAACACGGTCGGATTTTAATAAATCAAAGAGCCACACTGTTTAATAAAAATTTATTGACTTACAAGTGATTATTTATCAAAAGACCATTAATAGAAGGTACTGAAATGATGTGTTACTGGGTGGTGCTGGGAGACTAATAGGAAATCAATGCCGCCGGCCAGGCAGGATGCATATGAGAAGCCCCCCCCAGCCGCTGGCGCAATCTCACCAGCCAAACACACCAGACGCTACCTCTGGTGCAATGAAAAGTTCCCCCTTTTTATTTATCGTTTACAAATGAAATGATCAATACTTTTAATCTAGAGCAAAATTTATTAACTTTCCCATCGGAGAGAGACATATTGACTTGGGGGAGAGAGGGTGAGTGTGCTGGAAGATGGATGGCAGGATGGTGGTCTTGCGCCTGTCCAGGAGTCAGCGTGCATGCGGCTACCCACACCAGGACCAGGGTGCCTGGAGAAACCGAGTCTGGCCACCGGGAGGTGGATGGGACCTACGACACAGTAGAACCCCGCCTGCCTCAGGGGACAGTAGGAAGCTCTATGCCACAGACAGCTGTGTTTTTGGTCAATTCCAGGAAGGATGCAGCAGTATTCCTAGACCCAGATTTTGACAGAACAGGGCCAATGCCCACCGCTGGCTCTGCCATGAAGGCCTGAAACAGGCTGGGGCCCAGGAGCCTGTTACTGGTCTGGTGTGGGCACCCTGGCTATGTGGCACCCCCTCCCGGCCCCCCACATCAAACCCTTTTCATTGCTGATGGGCGGTAGCAGGGAGTGGGGTCTGGCACAGTGAAGAACCCAGTTCCAAAAGTGGCTTGACTGTCACGAGGGTGTCACCTCAAACTGCTCCGCTGAGCTTAGCTTGCTGGGCTCTGGTCTGGCTTACAGCCTCCTGTTCAGCTTCCTCTGTCAGGGGAATTTTACCAGCCTTATTACAAAGTTCCTTCTCAAACTAGTTGGAAAAGTCTCATGTTTGAGTGAAAAAAGTCTGTCCAAAATCCACAATCAAGACTTCTCCAGCCCAAGAGAGGTGTGGGCCCGGTCCCGCAACCACTTCAAACGCTTGGGGACTCTCCTTTACTCATGGGGACACTCCTTTACTCATGGGGACACCCTGTAGTGGAGTTTAGTTTCACTAGCTCTAACGTTTTAGAGGAAGCAAATGAATTCAAAACTGACTTTTATTTAGGAATTCGAAGACTTCAAAGCTCAAACACAAAGTTTGAACTACGGGTTTAAAAATCACAGAAATTTTGGGGCCGGCCCGGTGGCGCACTGCGATAGTGCGCCGCTTGGGAAGCGCGGTGGCGCTCCCGCCGAGGGTTCGGATCCCACATACAGACCGGTTCCCGCTCACTGGCTGAGCGAGGCGCGGGAGCAACACCGAGGGTTGCGATCCCATTGCCGGTCCTGGTCCGATACGGGGGTGACACTGAGGGTTGCCATCCGTTGCCGGACACAGAAAAAGACAAAAAAAAAAAAAAATCACAGAAATTTCAGAAGTGGAAAGGGCCCAGCGCCTAGTTATCAATCAGGAAATACACAGATGCAGAGAAGTAAGTGAAAGCAGGAAATGAGCAGCAGATACCAAGTGGGACTAGAAGCCACCGGTGCACACCCACTAGTGAACACCGCCTGCTTTTATTGCAGGCGCACCCTCATCCCTTCCGGGGTCACAAGAGTGAGCACAGCTTATACTGTACATCGCTTTAGTGTTCCTAAGCATCTTAAGGTTTCACCACATGAGACCATTACCCCAAACCAAATATTCTGACTTATGGATAACTCGGAGCCTGCAGGATCCCCAGTCAAAAAGGATGGAGCAGTAGGATAAGCCTGAATGCTTGTAATGAGCACTAAATAAAATTTTTAGAGATTTCACTTTTTTTTTTCCTTTTTGTCTTTTTTACTGACCGGTAAGGAAATGGCAACCCTCGGTGTTGCGCCCGCACCGCGCTCAGCCAGTGAGCGGGAACCGGTCTCCACATGGGATCCGAACCCTCGGCAGGAGCACCACCACGCTCCCAAGCGGTGCACTCTCCAGTGCGCCACCGGGCCGACCCCTAGAGATTTCACTTTTGTAGGTACTATTCACATCCCTTCTCCTGTTAGTAAAAAAAGGTAGAATAGTCGCTGCCTGGTCTCCACAAATATTCCCAAGAGTGACTCTAACCCAGGCTCTTGCAATAATACACTGCTGTCAGCAGCAACAGACAGCTGTACTGAACATGAGACAATTAAAAGCGAAAACAAAATATAAAAATACACCTATGCAAATCACAAAAGTAATAAATTATGAGTTAAAGCTTTAGAGAACTTTCTAGAAGGGAACTTGACCTTCAATACCTTTTGTTTTTGTTTTCCTTAGGTGGCAGGCTGGTGCAGGGTTCCGAACCCTTGACCTTAGTGTTAAAACACCATGCTCTCACCAACTGAGCGAACTGGCCCAGTCCCAATACCAACTTTTTTTTTTTTTTTTCCTTTTTGTCTTTTTCCGTGTCCGGCAACGGATCGCAACCCTCAGTGTCGCCCCCGTACCGGACCGGGACCGGCAACGGGATCGCAACCCTCGGCGTCGCTCCCGCGCCTCGCTCAGCCAGTGAGCGGGAACCGGTCTGTATGTGGGATCCGAACCCTCGGCGGGAGCGCCGCCGCACTTCCCAAGTGGCACACTACAGCAGTGCGCCACCGGGCCGGCCCCCAATACCAACTTTTAAAGATGATTCCAGTTAGCTTTTAAACACTGTAAACGTCCCCTTGAGCATTGTTGAACAACTTGTAAAACAGTTCCTAAGATGCTGTTCTTACAGTCCTAACTGTTTTTATTTGAGAGAAAAGAGGATTTTTCCATTGGTTAGCGACCAGGCAGGGCAGAGGAAATGAAAGGCTGTCTCGGGAGGTGACAGTGAGTCAGGGGAGTGTGAGACTCTGGGGCCATAGAGCCCAGGGTCCCGGGCACTGCGAGGTGGCATCAACTCCACAGCCTCAGGAGCCTGGCTTCATTCTTAACTTCCCCAAACCCCAGGTCACAGGTGGACCTTGGAGATGGAACGCTTACCACAGCTGCTGCAAAATCCAGAAGGGACCGTGACTGTGCCATGACGGAGCAGGGAACAGAGAGTAGGGGACGGACGGATGGTAAACAGGTAGCTGAGGCAGCTCTTCAGAGGGATATGGAGTTGGTGAACCGTGGAAGCAGGAGCCAAAAGGGCGTCTGGCTTCGGCTCTGCTCTCCCACGACTGTGAGGCAGGCCCAGGGGGCAGGATGCCATGCCTCCCCCTGGTGCCCCAGGTGCCCCACCTGTTCTCTGCTCTCTCCTCACCCTTGTACTTTCCCCTGGCTTTCCATGTCCTGAGGCTGGCCGCCAGCCACCTTCCCTCCCCACCTCAACGCAACTGTGTCCCCTCACATGCCTCTAAGCACCCTCTGTGCTGGAAATCCTCCACTGGCCAGAGAGATTCGCCAACGTCCGACACAAGTAGTTTGCCTTCCTACAAACAACACTATTCCTCCTCCCGGAAGTCGAGTGGATACCTCCGCTCCCAGGGTTACGTTCAGGTTAGAGAAGCTGTAACTTGGACAAGAAGCAAGTTACTCGGGGCTACATCCAGGGGAGAGGGAGTGAAGGGAAAAGTCCCCAGTTTGTTTGCCAACCAATTTTATTTACTCACAAAAGCAAACCCAAAGCCCTGTGCGGCAGCTCTGTGCTCAGGCCCAGCCCTGCTGCGTCCCATGACCTGGACTCACAACACTGGACGTCCCCACCCTTCACTTGCTGCAGCACTTTCATCCCCACAAGAGCCCTGTGAGGTGGGTATCGCCACCTTCCCCTCCTGATCCATGCTGCAGGTGGGAAAACTGAGGCACACACTAAACAGACAGCAAGTCACGTGGGGAATTCAGGGTCAGCCCTGGAGTAAACACAAAGTGACTCTTGGTTCTCACCACCGACAAGTCAGGGGTCACCTGGCCTCTTCCCACCCCCTCTAGTGACTTCTCATAAGCAGTAGCACAGGAACTTAGTACTTCATTTTGCTGAAAGTCCCAACAGACGACAGTTTTCTTTTTGCTGAGTCTGCAGAGCTCTAGGGCTAGGTTGAGGTTTTGCCTGGAGCAGGCCACACTGCCTCAGCAGTGCCTCTCCTCAAGATCCCCCGCCAGGCCCCTGGCATGTGGGCATCATGACAGACTACCACCGCAATGTCCCTCATGTGGCAGTGTGGACCTGCACACGTGCACAGGTGGACTGCTGACTTCAATGGCATTCCTCCAACGGACTTACTGTAAAAGAAACAAGAAGGCATCTCGTGCTGGCAGCAACGCCCAGTGGCATTCATTTCGGATGGCCAAGGGCGGGCGGCGCTGCCCCAGAGTGCAGGGGACCCGGCATGGCTCTAAGGAAGACGGAGTCCTGGGATCCCGAGTTTGGAAAGGAGGCAGCAGCGGGGCAGCAGCAGTGGCAACTCCAGCTGGCTCACGCGTCGGGACCTGCGCGTGGGGCCTGGCCAGCGCCAGGTGCGGACTCAGGACCGGCTCCTGTCCTTGTGGTTGCCAACGATCATCTTGCTGTACAGCTTCTGCTGCTCCTCTTTGAATGTGTCCTTCACCTTCTCCCTCTTCAGGCCCCCGTCCCTGATGTGAGAAAAAGGCTGCGTGTGAGGGCACGGAAGGCTCAGCCACCCTTGCCTCATGGGCACATGCACCGTGCTGCTCAGAAACCAAGAGCCGCCGGCTGGAGCAGGAGCACTCTCTAACTACCATCACGGTGACCTCGGACACCAGCCCAAGACTCCTGGAACCCACCCTTTCCACTTCAAAATACTCACTCTTACCTTGCAGTCAGAATTCATTACTCATGTTCAAGGTACTCTGTAACTGCTGAAACCTACCAGGAAGTTTACAATTCTTCCTACTCTAACATCCATCTCTACCTTACAAAGGATACAAGAGGTATCCTGGCATTATGGAAGGGGAGCCAAGCTTTAAGAAATATTGAGACAAAATATCTGTAACATTGATCTGTGAAATGTAATCAGTAAAATTCAGACCCAGGGATACTCCAAATTAATGCAAAGAACACAAGTGTAAATGCAAATTCTTATTTCTCTCATGCTCAAGGGATAGCACCATAAGGGAATCAAAGTTTAAACTCCTTGGGTTGACAGAGTCTGGCCTTGCTAGCCAGCACCTCTCTGCTACATCCTGCCCGGGTCCTCTTTGCCAGGGTTTATTTCTTCACAGGCCATTCCGCCTGTCACCTGGACTCCTTGCATAGACACTAGAATTATCATCACCTTCAATGACTTACAAACATGCAAGGCCACTTGCAGTCTTTCTGCTACCCCTTTAAAACCTGCAGCGAAAGCAGGTTTTCACACACAGCCACCCTGTCGTTGTTTGACCCCAGCAGCAGGGAACGTGGAGTAGTGGTTACCTTCCAAGCTCTAAAAGCCTGTCAGACCTGGGCTCAAAATCTAGCTCTAGTATGTAAGTTGTGACTCTGGAGAAGAGCAATTCAGCCCCTCTGAGATTCAGTTTCTCATGTGTAGAACGTGAGTGACAGGTCTACTTCAGGGGGTTACTGGGAGGACAAAAATGGGACGATCACACAGAGTATCAGCAGCACAGGGTCTGACATACAGTCAGTGCTCAATAAATGTTAGCATTTTCCAAAAAGGCCATAATCTGAGAACCATGCTATCACCTGAGAGCCCACAGTTCACTTTAAAATTTGAATTTTTGCCTTTGCTTTGCTCATAAGACACATCTAAGTCAAATGCCCTCCACAGCCAATACTTGCACTTTGGTTTCTAAGGGCCTACAGGGTGGGAAAGTTTCTGTGAACCAGAGTTCATCCCGATCAATCTCCTATTATTTGGAGTATAACTGTGTTGTACTCTGGTATAAGGGTTGGTAAACTGTGGCTGATGGGCCAAATCCAGCCTGATACCTGCCTTTGTAGATAAAAGTTTTATATTGGAACACAGCCATGCCTTTGTGCACACATTATCTCAGACTGCTTTCACGCCACAGTGGCAGAGGTTGCAGCAGACATCATACGGCCCACAAAGCCTAAAATATTTACTGACTCTTTACAGAAAAAGTCTGTCAACGCCTGCACTAGTAGTTAACAAGCTAAATGCAATAAATGAAACCTTTACCTTTCTAAGGATGGTGCAGTTTTGCCAAATACACTGAGATCAGAGCAATTCCCATACTCCTATGAGGTTTCCAGATCAGAATCAGGTTATCCCTACCTAGAGATGAGGATTGTCTGAGTGCCCTGGTAGACTGGTACAAACCCCAGAAAGGTACACAGAATCAACTGCTTCAGTCCAGATGTCCTTGACTCCATGTTCCCCAAGGTCAAAGTAGCACAGGGTACTTCTGAGCTGGAACTAGGAGAAAGGAGTCAAACTTCCCACACTCCAGGTTGGCAAGTCTAATTCTCCACACCAGGGAGGAGGGCCTCTTTGTCAATGGGGCCAGTGATTCAGCATCTGCTTCAGAAATTCATGGTCTCCTAGACTCAGTTGATGATTCTGGCTCTAAACTCACCACAGCAGGTCCACCAGTCCTCCCTGCCTGGCAATGGCGGATTTCACCCTGTTTGCAAACTGGACGGCGTCTTCATCTGTCTGTCAGGAAGAACGGACAAGCATGCTCAGCCTAGGCTCACGATCATAAGTAAGCGAATAAGAAGTGAGTGAAGACCTATGCGTGGTGAGGCACCCACCTCTCTGATCATGGGGGGCAGGTACCAAACACTGCAGACAATGGCCCAGCTGGTCATCATCCTCAGCAGGTACGTCACCATCCCGTATTTGCTGCTGTTCCAGAAGGCATCACCGAACTGAGGGTCATACTGAGAGACAGTAGAAAGCTGGGTGGTAAGGTGCAGTTCTAACCAGGTGCAGGTGTCAGCAGACCCCTGCACAAACACTTCTGAGATAACTCTACACCTGAGCAGTTCTGACCTCCAGCAACATCAGTCACCCCTGAATGACTCAAGCCTCTGCTGTGGATTACTAGAGAAGACTCCCCTAACAGCCTTCCCCAAACAAATGCCCTCCCCCTGGGATTAGTTCTATGTCTTACTCATAGGTCATGAGTCATTAAAGTATTCGATAACGTGCTCCCACACACCCACTCTCCAGATCCAACGACCACCAACAGTTCCCCACACTTGCTGTGTCTAACCCCCCCTTAGAAGGCCTACCTCTAACATCAGGCCATTCACTTATAAACACAGCTAGTGGGCCTCTCCCAAATAAAGACGTTTTCTTATATAATCACCAAGTTCCTCATATCATTTCTGGTGCCCCAGACCAACGAGGAAACAATGAGAAAGTTTATGATATGCTTCTGTATTTGCACTTCTAACAAAGCACATGATCTGTTCAGGCAGGACACTGCACTGATGAAATCATTAGCAGACAGATGCACACTGGCAGTCTCATGAGCCTCAACCACACAGGCTGCGCTTCCCACCGAGAAGCAGGCATGGCAGCCACTTGCACATGCCAATGACTCTGAGGGAGGCAAAAGGCTGCCACTGTTCAAGTGGCAGGTCAGGGTAAGCTGGTGAGTGGGGTGGCAAGGTGCTAGAGGGGGAAGCCATACAAGAAGCAACAGGAACCGAGTTCTTGAGGAGAATGCCCAAAGGAGTGGCGTGGGACTGTTATCAAGTGCTGAAGGGCTACTGCAGACATGGCACTAGACTACCTGTGTGTAACTGTAAAGCAAAGACCTAGGACCAGAGAGGGGACCTGGCCTTTATATCCTTCCATGAAAGGAGATGGAATTTCAAGAGTGATCCCACAGGCCAGGTTGCCAGCAGTGTGGAAGTGCCCTTCCCTGGGGGAGGTAGAGGGAGCGCCGGCAGGTGCTGCAGTACAATCTTGCACTGGGGGCGGGGCTACGCTTAAACTATGATCTTTTAGGCCTTTCTGGCCTAAGTTTTATATATAAAATTTACATTCATAAAACACGAATATAAAATTATTCATACTGATTGAATAATTATGCCGAGATTATGGCCCTAACTATAGAAATGAAGACATTTAGATTTAATTGTAGAAACTAAGAAATTTAGATTTAACTTTAGAAGGTTTAATAGTTCTCATTAAAATACCAAAAAGAAATAAGGGAGAAAAATAAGTTCTAAAAACTAAGCTAATGCACATGATAGAAAGAAAATGTTATTCTAGTTTATAAAGCACGATATGGATAAAAACTTTGACATTAAGAGAGTGTGGGAGCCTGTTGTTCAGGATTGATTCTCTATTTCATGCTGGAGAGAAAAACAAGGCAAAAGCTCACAATAACAGCTCTAGCTTCCTCAAAGTCAGACAATGGCTCAATTTTGGTGGAAATGTAATAAGAGACTTGAAATTGCTATGGTCATCCAAGTTTGGTTACCAAGAAAAGCTTCACAAAAACTAGAGAAGTTCCCGTGAAGCAAAAGTTTTAACCGTGTGTGGGCTTTACTCTGTGGACTGAGTGAAATGCCATGGAAAATTTGTGGGCATTTTACTGTGGCGAGGGGCCATTCCTCTCCCAGGGTCCACCTTCCAGCAACAATGAAGACCCCGACTTCCCAGCACTTGTCCTCCAATGCGGTCCCCTGCCAGCACCGGTCCGCCAACGTGGTCCCCTGCCAGCACCACCCAGGCACACGTGAAAATGAACACGCAGCAACCATAGGCATGAGGCCCAGCAACCTGCACCTCAACAATACTCCAGGGGATGCTGACATGGCTCAAGTCTAAGAACCAATGCTCTGGAGTGAGCAAGAAGGGTTTCCATCCAGTAACATATGTGGTAAAGCAACCAACCGCACTATACAGGACGGCCTGCATGCAGCACAAGTGCCACTGCCCACCCCACAGCCATGGCAGATACTGCTAACAGTTGGCGTCCTCATTCCTGCTACTCCCAGACACAGCACCCTCGACAAATGGCTCAGCACTCCTGAACTATCAGCCAGAGTTCCCCTGCAGCCAACACTCACTTGCCATCCCCACCTGGCAAAAGGTGAGTGGCTGGTCAGCGTCTGCCTGACCAAGAGGGGCAGGTGAAAACCAGAAACATCTCTACAGAATGCTCTGCAAGAAACAGATACTTGTAGAAGTGTGGAGACCAAATCCCAAGCACAGCTCTGCCTCCAGTCTGCTCACTGTTTCACTCTGCTCTAAGATTTCCACCTAAGCACTTTACCCAGTGACAACAGCGTATGTGTTTTAGGAATCATGATGTGAGGCCTGGGTTTTTCTGGCAATATTGCGAGTCTGTTATGAAATAAGATGCACATGAAGGGAGCGAGGGCATGGAGGAAAAAGTGCAGCTGACTGGCTGTCTACATTCCACCTCTCCAGGGAGAGTGAAAGGTGAGGGGCGAGGTCCTGAACGCAGAGGTGATCAGACAATCTCTGAAGACCCTCTCATTGTCGTGAGCTGCTGCTGGTGCATGAGATGATGCACAACCCAAAGCGGTGGAGCTGTTTCTTAACGTGCACTGTAGTAAGGACCCAGCCATCCTCACCTCCCACCAAACCTGCAAACCCATCTTGGCAGCCACACCCGTTCCCTGCAGCAAGCCACCTTTTCCAGCTGAGCGTCCTACATGCCGGTGAGGGACAAACACAAAGCTTTCCTGAATCTGGCAGTGGTGAGGAATGGGAGGGAATCTGACTCTTCCTCATCCAAACACTCCCCAACCATGAGCATCTCCTCCTCTGGCACTGCCCATGTGAGCCCGGCCCACACGGCTCTGCCAGAGAGGATCAGCCTGCTGTCTGCTCCGCCTGCTCGTGTTGCGTCCTGTTCATGGCAGATGCGATAATGACAACATGTGCCTGCAGAGGGTTGATACCTTGATAGCAACAGGGTAAACCGTGGCTCCAATTTCAAAACTTCCCTTTTTGAACATCATCACCGATGTATTATTGATGCACGTTCCTAAAATGCAGGACAGAGTAAAATGCTATTTCTTTTGGTCCTTTATCCCAGATATTATGATTTTCTTAAAGACCAAATATAATAATCAAAATTCTTCTAATGGCTCCTCAAACAGGATAAATCTGTCATCTCCCTAACTAATGAATGAACCCTTAAAAAAGACAGGCAAATGCTATAATGCTTCTTGGTCTCTTTTCATAGGACCACTTTCCCTGACGAACACACACCAGCCCAGAAAAAGGGCCAGAGGCACTTGGTGGACCTCGGAGGACTCAGAAAGAACTTCACAGGAAGCTGAAAGATCCTGGCAGCAGTAATAAAGATGGGATTCCTGCACTGAGGAAGTTCACGCTATAACACTCCTAGTCCAAATTCTGAATTTCCCTGAGTTTTGCATCCCACAACCAATTTAAAGGAGACTTAACACTGTTCAGTAAAAACAGATAACCCCAATAAGGGTTGGAGGGGCTGGTTCCTCAGCAACATCATAGTTACAAGCCTGCATAGCTCCCCTACACGGACACTCTTTGTGGTGATTAGCCCCTTCTTACCTTCTGGGAAGATGAGGATAGGTAGCTTGCTTTTATCTTGCACGTGTTCAGTCAGTCTTTTGAAAAGAAAAACAAAAAGCAGGGTCAGACAACTTTATGTCCATCATCATTTATAAATAACCTATTTGATTTATATGTGACACAAGCTTAGATGCATAAAAGCAAGTTAACAAATATGACTCTATCCTTTATAAACCCACAATCTAAAGCTCACAAAGAAAAAAATCAGATGACTACTACTTAATTCATACAACTGTTCAGTTCAGTGTTAAAGTCTGTGCACAGAGGCTGCTGCTCAGAGTCGGGACTATCTGCACATGGCACTCCAAGAAGCCTCTGCCGACGGCCTGCTTTAACAGCCCTGCTAGGCTTCACTTGCACGCCCCTGGCTCAGTACTGTCCCTGAGACTTAGCAAAGGGAATTCAGTAGATAGTTCACTTGTCCCTATGGAAGATGGTCCCAGCTGTTATCGTGATGCCTCTCTGTCTACTCAAACCGGATTTACCCTCTTGTTTTTTAAGTTTGAAAGCAAATAAGCACTTTGTTTCATTGCCTTGTTTTTACTTGTGATAATGAATTCACTTTGAGATTTCATATAGTCATAAAAATTCATACTTTGTTGATTACAATGGGTACAATGAATAAAAAAGGTTAAGAAACATTACTAACTTGGTAAATAATACTGGGATTTAGGGCCGGCCCGGTGGCACACTGCTACAGTGCGCCACTTGGGAGCGCGGTGGCGCTCCCACCGAGGGTTCGGATCCCACATACAGACCGGCGGCTCACTGGCTGAGCGAGGTGCGGGCGCAACACCGAGGGTTGCAATCCCGTTGCCGGTCCCAGTCCAGTACGGGTGCGACACTGAGGGTTGCGATCCGTTGCCGGTCACGAAAAAAGACAAAAAAGGAAAAAAAAAAAAAAAATACTGGGATTTATATTACTAACATGGTAAATAATACTAGGGTATACTCTTTATATTCCATATTTTAGGAAAAAATTAATATGAAAATAGTCAAGGCTCAGTGTAGAGGATACTCTTTCCACTATGGAAGGATAACCTCGGGCCGGCCCGTGGCTCACTCGGTAGAGTGCGGTGCTGATAACACCAAGGCCCCGGGTTCGGATCCCACATAGGGATGGCCGGTTCGCTCACTTGGTGAGCGTGGTGCTGACAACACCAAGTCAAGGGTTAAGATCCCCTTACCGGTCATCTTTTTTTAAAAAAAAAAAAAAAAGGAAGGATAACCTCCCTAAAATGCTTTCTGCATACAGTCAGCCTTCTGTATCTGCTGGTTCTGTAACCAAGGATCAAAAATGCTCCAAAAAAGTATAATAAGATAAAATTTAAAATAATACAAAATCTAAAAATACAGTATAAACAACTATTTACATAGCATTTACACTGTATTAGTTATTGTAACGTGGAGATGACTTAAGTATGTGGGAGGACGTGCACAAGTTACGTGCAGACACTATGCCACTTTGTTTCAGGGACTTGAGCACCTGTGCATTTTAGTGTCCTGGAGCCAACCCCCTGCAGATACTGAGGGACACCGAGGGACGACTGTACTTCACATAGTGGGTCACACAGAAGAGCACTTTGTCCACTTACCTTTTGGCCACCAGGTGGCGATCTTTCACTTCAGAACGCTCAAACCAGATGTGCGGGCAGGCCTTCACCATGGCTCTCTGAATCACACCCATAAGTCCCCCGTGCACTTGACCCACCTGTCTCAGACAAAAGAACAGTTAGTAGCGAAGCCATCCTCACGCAAATCCCCCTACTCTGGGGAGGAAGCCCCAGAGCCCACAAATAAGTACTCCAACTTCTCACCCTCCAACATTTTATTGCTAACTGTAGGTTGCTCACTAAAGAAACCACTATTAAGGCTCCTTTTAATCAGTGACAGAGATATGTCATTAAAAACATAACTGAAAACCCTAAAAAAATAATAATAATAAAATTGAGTGACACCTTGTGTAAAAACTCCCCTCCCTGGGTAGATTCTCAACTGCATTTGAGTCCAGTCCTTAAGTCCCCTCCAAAACATTCATCCTTCCCACAGTCTGCGTAAACGTCCCAAGTGCATGATCTCCAGCCACAGCCTCAGTCACTGCTCAGATATCTCCTCTCCAAGTCCCCAGGAGTTCCCCAAGGTGACAATCTAGGTTGGGGCCCAGGTATAAAAGTATGGTTACAGGTTTACACCCTTAAGTACTCTGCAAAGGGGTCAGAAACTTCCCAGCCCCAATCAGTCTAAAGTGAAAAGTCTTGCCTCAAAAAAACAACAGAAAAAGATCTCACCATGGCATAATAGCCATCACTGGCCAAAATGATCACATCAATAGGAGAGGTATGATTGGCCACACAGATGCCACCATTTCTTGGTCTGTTTTTCCTGGGTTTAAAACGTATGCAAAGCAACAAAAATTAATGTAAAACCATTCACTTGGAACACATCCCTCACCTCACAAGGAGTCTCCCACTTGGCCAAGGACAGGTGGGTTGTGTTTTCTGCCAGTGGATCTCCCTCTCTAATAATGCAAAGTCCCCTTACCTGTCATGGTAAGTAATGATGGCTGTCAGGGCTCGCACACAGATCCGGTAACACATTAAGTGAACATGTTTACTCATGAACTCCTTAAACCTGCAACAACAGGACAAAGGTTTTGGGTTTTGTTTTACACATAGGAAGACAATCTAACCTCACCAGCCAGGGTAGAAGAGAGATTTGCTAGCCCCAGAACTTCCCAGAAGGAGCAAAGTTTTCTTTAAAAAAAATTAACAAAACAGACAAAACCTACTTAAATTTCAAATAATTTTTAAAAACTTATTCTTTCACCAATACATCAACACAGTAAAATGCTCAAAACTAAACAACGTGCTGTAACATCTAAGCCCCGGACTCTACATTTTTGTAATTTCTCCTTTCGTCTTTAAAATGGCAAGTGTGTGGGTTGAAGGTCAAAAAGAACACAGTCACAGATCACGATCCGTCAAAAAAAAAGACTTCAATGCTGATGCCATTGTTACTACTGTGTTGTTTTATCCATCTAAGAGTCCACGGATGTGACTGTATCCAAAGTGACCTGGCCTTTATATCCAAGCCACTGCCAGCACTAAGTGCCATACAGACAGACATGGGCATGTGCACTTGACTCACCTCCCATTTGGCAAGTATCCCACGACGGTCGTGCCCACCACCAGAAGGCTAATCCCCGTGAAAGCAAGAGCTATCCTGGAATCAGAAAACACATTAAGACACAGCAAGCAAATCCAAGAGTTCCATCCAGAAACGCAAAGGGCTTTCGGAACCAGAGATCACTTTGACTCCAAAATGACAGTGAAATTTGGACTCGGCTCTCAGCTGACACTATCTCCACAGGTCTCAGGCAGCTAGAGTGATGGAAAACCCTAAAGCTGGCAGTGCCGCCCTCAGGCACTTGCTGTCCTGCGTCTCACACTTCCCGTTGGCTTTAAACCCTGGCAGTAGCACAGCTTCTCTGTGAATCAATAGGAAGGAGAGCCTGAAGGTGCCCGCATCAGAAAGATACACTCAGAACAGCACGTGGCACAGAAAAGCCCACAGATCAATATTGCATCTGTACTGGAGAAGCAGGCTTCAGGAAGGAATCAGCCATGCCCAGGGTGGAGTAGCTAGAAGGTACAGGATGTTCCCTGTCCTTGTCTTTAGCCATCTAGACAGGCAATCTGTCTCTAGGAAACCCAACTATTTCTGTCTGATATGCAGAGAACCCAAGGGCCTTTAAAGGCTAATCACCAGGGTACCCTTCCAAGATACAGATGGACTGGCCAGTGAAAGAATCACACTACCCTTCTTTCTAAAACGGGAAGACAAAGCAGAGAGAGACAGGGAGGCAGATCATGTAGCAGGCTTAGGCAGCAGCAGCTCAAGCCTCTGATCCCATCAGGCCCAGCCCTCACCTGAGTGGCAGAAGGAAGCAATACCGAATCAACACTCCTAACCCCCACAAGACAGTAAGCCGAAGGCTGATGTACTGGAAGTTATAATTGGTTCTGCTCAGCAGGTTCCAGGACTCCAGTTCCTCCGCTGAGAATCTCTTTGTCACCTCATCATCCATGATGGTCTCCATTCCTTTCCGGCAAAAGTAGAAAATGTCAGAGAGCTCAAACTCTGGAGTATTATCCAGAGCCTTACTACTACCACTTCGACGAATTTCTTTGATCTCTTCTTCTAGTGAAGTGGGATCCTTTGCAATGATTCCTGCAAAAGAGAATAACCTGTCAAGCAGCATGCTGGCAGAGAGCACGTTAAAAATATTTAGAGTATACATCCTACATTTCATACAGAGAAGAGTGTGTGTGGAACACACCTAGGAACATTTTTGAAAGGGAGCTTTTAGGATAAGAATCGAGGCCCAGTCTTACCATTGGTGTAGGGCTTGTAAAGCTGGTGGTTCTTCTCCTTGGCTCCTCTCTCCATTCTCAAGGTAGCCCACTGTGGGAGGCAAAATACAAGAGCAACAATGAGAGCCTTTTTCTATCAGTGAACACCTCCACCTCCATCCTGTGAAAGCTTCAATCCCAGTCACCCGAAATCAGACCACAGCCAAGAAGCGCATAGTCTAAAAGGAAACTCAAACCTCTCATTCCAGGGCAGTCCTCCTTCTGGATAACTAGGACCAAAAATTAAGTGATCTGCAGTAAAGGGCTGGAAACTCAAGAAGTCTGGGTGAGTTGCTCAGGCCTGGATCTCTGCCTCTGGGTTACTTCAGGAGCTTGCTGGCTGATAGCACGTGACACCCAGAACCCCCTCTTCATGGCCACACCGCTGCTGCTCCCCAACAGCAAGATCCAGCACCCCTCTGCCTGCTGCCCGATGCTGCCTCCCACCAAATTATACAAGAAAACAACAATTTTGGATTCCAAAGAGATACAGGACTTAAATAATACATATTTTCAGACTGTTCAGTAACAGGAGTAACCTTTTAACAGCAGAATCCCCCAACTTAACATAGAAAGGCTGGGAGCAGTTCAATAGTGTTAAGGGAGGGAAAAAAAGAATACTATCTGGAGACAAAAAAAAAAAACAAACCACCACCCCAGGTTCAATTCTCAAGCTTAACATTCACTAGCTGTGTTCCTTAAGCAACTCATCCCAACTCTTTGAATCTTGGTCTCAATCTGCAAACTAGAACTCACCCTATCTCAACCTCCTACATCTTGGGGTCACTTAGGATAGAATAAGATCATGTGCGCAACAGAACCTGGGACATGCCAAGCACTCTCACTGTCCTCATTATTACTGAAACTTATGGACTCACAAAGAGATCTAGAAAAAAGAGGCTCTCCCTAGAGCCTCTCTTCCTTCACTAAAATCCTTTTAACTGGAGTAAACAGAGCCAGAGGCTGGGTCTCTTCCAGTATGAGGGGTGAGAACATGAGCCCCCTTATTCCTGCTAGAATGAAAATGTTATCACTCAGTAGAAAACTCTGTCCACAGTGAGTCAAAGAAATAGAGTAGATATTTCAATAGGTGTCTTTTAAACTTAGGTTTCCGCCGTTACACAAGGTGGGAAAGAACCCTCCCATCCTATGACACAGCAGAATGCCCACGGCCAGAGCACTTGGTGTACATTCTGCTGGCAGAGCCCCTCAAAGTATCAGCAAGACTGCTCTGCATGGACTACTGAAGCCAAAAGCAGGATGAGTTTAATCAGTGTTCCGACCTCACCTGCAAATTTCTTCCAACACCACTGTCTAGGAGAAAAAAAGGTGGCTTATAGAGCCATCCACTGCAGTATAAAGGTCAAGAGCAGAGAAACTTATGTAACTCATTTTCTGTATTTCAGATATCTGGCCATTGATATCTTTTGGATCTATGCATGGATAATCTTTTCTGGAAGAAAATCTTAATATAATTCCTAAAATGGACACAGGTGAATTCCATTGAGTTTCCTTGAACTAGGGAAGAAAAAGGGGGAGTATGCAGCAAGCCTGGCACACACAGACATAGGGCACTCAACCAGAATTTAGATTTACATTTTGGCTAGGACTTTATATTGGTACTGCACGCATAATGGGAATAGAAAAACTTCATTCCACACTGACAATTCTGATGCTTAGATGAGATGGCAATAGGATGTGACGGACAGCAGGCCTCTGGGGATGAGAATGTGTCTGAGCACTGCTGGACTATGCAAAACTTAAGATGACAGTGGGCTTTCGTTTTAATTGGAAAGGTATCTGTTCATTAAGATGCTACATGTCCCTGCACTGTTTCAGCTCAGTAATAAAAATCCCCTTTGGCCTTCTGCTTTGTACATACTTCATCCCCTTTGGCCTCCTGCTTCTCAAACTTCAGGAACATTACAAAATGCTTGTGTGTTTAGGAAGAACTGTCCGAAGTCACAAGGGTAAGGGAAGAGGGAGGTCTGGAGGAATCCTGGCTGTTAGCTGAGAACAGCTGCTCAATGCACTGGACCACTTCCACCCCAGTGAAGACTGCATGAGGACCTCTGTGAAAACATGTTCTATTTTTCTACACTACACTCTCACAACTCTCTCCTGACACCAGATGTGGGGGGTTTTCCCACACACCAAGCAATCTCCAGCAGACACCAACAGGTTGTACTCTAATTCAACTCAATTTTCACAGTACCTGGGGATGGCGTCAGGCCCCACAGGTTGAGGGTTCAGTCCCACAAGACTGCCCCATGTCAGATGCCAATCAAAAGCCCCAGATTGTGACCTGTACTTCTGACCCACTGGCTATAGACTGGGGTTCCCACGACCTCCTCCTCGGGTTCAATAATTTGCTAGAATAACTCACAGAACTCAGGGAAACACTTCCCTTATGTCTATAGCTTGTTATAAAGGACACAACCCAGGAACAGCCAAATGGAAGGCATGCATGGGGCAAGGTACAGGATGTAGAAAGGCACAGAGGTTCCATCCCTTCTCTGGGCACACCACCCTCCAGCACCCCAAAGCTCACCGAATCTTATTCACAAGTTTTTCTAGAGCCTTAAGGGACTTCCGGTCAAGATGGAGGAATAGATGGTCTCTAGTGTCACTCTCTCCCACAAATCAACCAATTTACAACTATAAAAAAGCAATGACAGCCACGCTGGGGCTGCTAGAGCTCAGGGGAAGAGGAGGAGAGACCTACAGAGTGCATAAAGGCAGGAGAAGCCATGATGAGAGAAAGAAAAAACTGCTCTGTTTCAAGCCCTGGCTGCTTCCAGGCTGGAGCCGCTGAGTGCACAGAACAGGAGCCAGCAAAAGCCACAGCTGTGCCCTTCGGATGGAGTTGCTTAGAGGCAGCAGGGGAGAAGAGGGCCTCGGTGGCCCCCCAGGCCAGCAAGACCACTAATAGGGTTCCCGTGGACCCACACAGGAGCGAGGAGACAAAACAAGTGAAAAAAGAGCCACTCAGAGGTTGGTGAGTCATCACAAGGGACTAGCGCATGGCCTATCCCAAGGAAAGTGTTTGGAGCACAGGCAGTTGGGGAGATGGGCCCACCGGGAGAACACTGGGGCACAGCAAGGACAGATCTGGCCCCCAATCAGTGTTAGAACCACTCAGTGGAGACTGGTCAGGAATATAGAACTGCAGGGGTGCAGTTTGACGAAAAGACTCAGGCCCAGACCAGAGTTTCTACACAACCCAGGTGCACCGGGTCTCTCAAAAGCCAGAAGTACCTATAAAGTCAATCATTAAAACCTGAGCTGCACAAAAAGCCTTCCCCAGGGAACCAGCAGCAAAGCAGCAATTTAGCTCAACCACAGGGCTCAAGTGCTGGTCCCCACAGGAAGTTCCCCAATCTCAGAAGTAAGGAAAGGACAACAAATTACTTCTAGCACAGAGTTTAAGTGGTGGGAACAGCAAATAATCCAACACAGAACTGAAAGAAAAAACAAAGTACCCACAACCAGAGACCAAGTTTGACATTAGTAAAGGTCTCATTTCACCAAAGAACACCTATAACACCTAGAAGGACCGGATGTCCCCTGAGCTACCAAGCCAGAAAGGGGGGAGGACCGGGGGCATCAACAATGCCCCCAACATCCGCAACCAGTCCTGAGGGTGGAGGACAAGGTGCCTCCGCCATGCCACACCCCTCAAAACCCTCGTGCAGCCAGCCCAAGGTGACCACCAAGCCACTGCCTGGCCTCTCCCAGCCAGGGTAGTGGGGGTTCTCAGGCCTTGGCCATGTCCCCACCCCCACACACAGCTGGCCCAGTGATGACCACCAAGCTGCCACAGGAAGCGCCCCTGGCTTTCCCAGCCGCAGTGGTGGGGGGCCTTGGCCATGCCCCCGACCCCGGACACCTGCAGCCAGCCTAGTGATGACCACTGAGCCACTGCTGGAAGTGACCCGGCCTCTCCCACGAGGAGGTGGTGGGGGCTGAGGGCCTTGGCCATGCCCGCCTGACATGTGCAACCAGCCCAGTGAGGACCACCAAGCTGCAGCAAGAAGGACTCTGGGTTCCCAAGCTGGGATGATGGGCGGTGAGGGCTTTTGCCACCCCCCCACACACACATGTGCACCCAGCCCAGCAATGACCAAGCCACTGCTGGAAGCACTCCCCTCCCCCATCTCCTGCCTTAATCCCACCTGTCCTCTTTCCTCCTTCTTCCATCCCACTTCCTTCCCTTTCCCCTCCCTCCCAACTGCTCCACAACAACATCCTAAAATGTGAAAAATAATATTAATAAAAATACATTTTCTTTAAAAAAAAAAAAGAGTTTTTCTAGAGCTTAACAGAATTTAATCTCCAGCACCCTCCTTCCCAGAGCTCGGTGGTTGGGGCTGAAAATTCCTCTAAATTGAGGTTATCCAGGAGCCCCTCATCAGCATAAACTCAGGTGTGATCAAAGTGGCTCACATGAATAACAAAAGACACTCCTATCAGGAAATTCCTAGTGTTTCAGGGGCTCTGTGACAGAAGCCAGGCACAAAGACCAAATGTATTTTAGATTATACTACAGGCCAATGCACAGTAGCAATGTTTGGTAACCACACAATTGACTTCTCTAAGCTGTTTCTTTAAGAAGTATAGAATAAAATTAAGAGTCCTAGGTTCAGAGTTCATTTCACTATAAAAATCCTCTCCCTTCCCCTGATCTGAGATGCCATTTACTAGTCTATTCAATATCAGATTACTTAATCATTCCCTTTTCAGCTTCTCCCAGACAAAGAGAAGACAATTTAAAGGCACTAACAATATTGCACTCTTAGGTAAGAAACTTAACAGAGACCTTGGCAGGTGAAATGCAGATAGTTCGATGGTATATTTTTGCTAGTTATTCATTCCACTGAACACTACAATTTAGGAACTAAGCACATGAGTAAGGTCTAACAGTCTTGGCAAAACCAATCTCAGCAGAAACCTTCACCTCTTCCTTTTCAGTCAACCTTTGTGGCATTTTCCCACAACCAAAGAACAGGACCCTTAAAATCAGGCTCCAGATCATCCAGTGCCTTCTGTTTT